TTGGTTTTTAGTTGTTGGTGGTGTTTCATTATTACACGTTACAGTTTATTTACTGTAGAGGTTAAAGGGTCTGGAGACTGTTGAACCATTCAGACTTTCCTCATAATCAAAGGGGCTTCAGCAGTTTCAATGAATGCCGTCATTACATAAAGCTGGATTTGATGTGAGTTTAGGATCAGTCTGTTCTAACCTTATTGACTTGCTGAATTATGGGCTGTCTCCATCCTTCATGGAGGAATAGACTAACATAAAAAACACACAAATATCTGAAGTAGCAGCTGGACTCCATTACACTGTGCACAACTTTAGCAGATTAGTGAGACATTTGTGTGATTTTTATTGCATCGTTGTCTTTAACAATCCAACGAAAATCTTGAACAAAAAAAAATCCAACTATCAGGATTTTTAAACGCTCTTTGGTGACCTCCTAAAATAAATGCCTGCTAAAGTAGCACCTTTTTTATGAGTGTGTGTGTGTGTGTGTGTGTGTGTGTGTGTGTGTGTGTGGTCTCCTGCTTTGACCAAAACGTCTTCCTGTTCTCACCTCCCTCTTATCATCTGTGTGAACTCTGCACTGAATTTCTGCACCACAGATGCAAAAGTCATAACTGCAGACTACAAACCATCCGGGTGGAGATGTAGAGGCCCAAATTAGATCTGGTCTAATGAGCAGGATCTGTGGTGATTTGATGTAAATACTGAGCTCCATTAGGAGAAAGTCATTGTTTTGTCTTTGGAGCAAATAAACTAGCTTGTTGTCATGTGATTCCTTCCTGTGTTATTTGCTTGTTTTAGCTTCAGGATGAGTTCTACCACTGCTTCATATTCATATGAATATTAGCTTATCGACTAAATCCTGAGTTCACATTTGAACCTTCCACCTGACTGGGTAATAACACATTTTTAAGTGTCGAGAAGTTTTTAAGGTTGCCCTGACTGTGTTTGAGTGTTGTTAGATGACTGTACTAAATTTATCAACCGGTAAACTAAATTGTACGTAACGTACATGGAGTTGGGACGTGCTGCTCTATCAATCTTTCACACGGTTTGCTTTTCTCATGTTCCTGAGAGCTTTTGCTGTTATCTTCTCTGTTGTCTTGGCTTCAGCCGAAAGGACTGTAGTTGTGAGTCACACCGATAACATTGGTGTGTGAATGTAGGGCTGGTGTGTCTGAACACAGAGACAAGTGCACCAGTGGTTTTACTTTTTGACTTCCTGTCTGGGGTACTTTCCACAGTTCAGCTCTGAGTCATCCTGTCTACTTAGAAGTTATCATATTTAATTTGATTCCACCTTCAAATGGAGATGCAACTTAAAAAATATTATTATTATTGAAATAGCTTTAATATTTGAATGTTAATTCATGTGTGATCTCTACTGGGGCATAAAGTATTGTCATAGTTAGGAATGTGTATTGGTGAAATTTTGGCGATACGATACGTATCACGATATATTGCGATACATTCAGTATTAGAGATTTTTTTTTAGACTGAATTTATTGTAGGAATATTCATTAAACAGTCCAAACTAATACTTGGCATGTTAAACCTGAGGTATCTGAACCAGAACAGATGGATTTACATTTCAATGGTGGAAACAAAACCCATTGCACCCTACTGCCAACTAGCGGTCGGTGTTGGATTTGCATCAAAAGAAAAGAAAACACTGTTTGCATGTAAATTCTTCCAAAGATTAGATCCACGGCTTTTGAATATCAATATAACATCGCGGGGGAAAAAATCACGATGTATTGCCAGATCGATATTTTCTTACATCACTAGTCATAGTGCTAATTTTAAGATTTTATCGTACAAACACTAAAATACTTGTACATACTGCAAACATAATCCTAAAAACAACCCCACATACTTTAAGATGGTTGCATAATTGTTTTAAAATAATGGAAGGGTGAAATGAATGGAGGTTACATGTTTGCAGAAAGACTGACAATATTAAAAAAAAAACTTGACTATGCAGGTATGCCCAACCCTGGTCCTCAAGATCCCCTATCCAGCTTGTTTTATATCTCACTCTGCTAATTCAGTGACTGAATCACCTGTTCAACAGCTACTCGGGCTCTGCAGAACACTGCTAATCACCACTGATTCAAATCAGGTGTGTTGAAACAGGGAAACGTCTAAAACATGCTGGATAGGGGATCTCAAGGATCAGGGTTGGGCACACTGGAACTCACAGCTCTCACATTGTGAGATTTAGACGTATTTTGCAATCTGCTTTTTTACTTTTAAGATTTTAAAATCAAACAGAATCTGAATATCAATACTTGCCAATAAACTATTATTTTAAAGAAATGGTAAGCTGCCAGAATGTCATGAAAATCAGTCATCCTATGTAAGCATGGTGAGTTCAAACCACGAGAGCGTAAATGTAAATAAATATTGGTATGTTAGCTAAGCTTTAGCCTAAAGTACACCCTGTCATTACCACTTGACTCAGCAAGTCATGCAGCTTTTCCAGGGTTGTGAAAACTACCTTGTTAATCCCAAAAGAGAAATTGGATGCTTTAGATAGAAACGTATCATTAAAGTTTCTACAAAGAGTCCCTGTAGCTGGTTCTAGTGGATCTTCTGTAGAGGGCTATGTTCCAGCAGATCTGAAGAATCATCTGAATTGTACTGAAGGTCTGAGGCGTATAGAAGGTAAATAAGAGGGGAGAAAGTATCGTCCCCTGTGGTGCTCCAGTGCTGCCGACGACCTGGTTTAACATAAATCCTTTTAAGAGGTCTGTTTGTCAGATAGTCATTAATCCAGGAGATGGTGGAGGTTTCTGCCTGTGTGTTCTGGAGTTTCTTACATAATGGTTGGATTGTAAAGAACATGATCCTCACAGCGCTGTCTGCTTTGTCTAGAGGACTGTGGGTTTGTTGAAGCAGGTATGTGATGGCATCTTTACCCCATCCCCATGGTGATGAGCAAGCTGCTGAAGGCCCTAGAAGGTGTTTGCTTATTTAGGTAGGTCAGTAGCAGTCTCTCTTAGACATTCTTGGTGTGCGATGTTGGGGTAACAGATCTGTAGTTGTTAATGGAGGATGGATGAGATTTCTTATGTACTGGAACCAGGCAGCGGGACCTTCTCCTGGGTTTTGCTGCAGAGTTGGAAGCTGTAGACCAGAACCAAGTAGAAACACAGCTGGTATCACCGTCCTTTCAACAAAAAGCAGTTTTGATGACCTCTATTACTCCCAGGTTTTGGGATATCTTCAGCAGGCATTGTAATGCATTTGTCCTCAGAGGATTTTAGTTATTGTTTGTCTGAAGGTGTTGTGATGATTGTTTATTCATCGCTGACACCAACATGGCGTATCTACGTTTTCTGTATCTAAACAGGGTGGAGATAACAGAAGGAATGGTGTCAAAGTAAGTCACGTTCTGTGTGTTTGACCCACACGACCTCCACCAGCCTGTGCACTCTGGGTTTATACCAGTAGTCCTCACAGGGCTGACTCTAAGGGAGCTAACGCTAACTCCAAAAACTTTACTAGCAAATGTAGAAACTATGTTAGACTTTCTGTTTATACTCAAACAACTGTTTGCATATTTTTGTGTTACATTTATCTCGCTGCACAGCAACGTGTCTTATTACATTTTTCCTTTTTTTTTTTATCATGGGAACATTTATTTATTCTTTAAGGAGATTTCATGATTAAAGTGACCAAATCCAGCTGTGTCAAAGAAACAGAAATATTCATGATAAAAGCCTTTTTGAACCTTGTTTCTCTTTTGGTGTCAAACTGTTAAAATAAATAAAAGTCATGGAAAATTGACACATGGGGTGCTGAGAGTGGTGTTTTGCACTTGAGGCTAAAAATAGTGTTGAAAGTACTTTTGTGCTCTGGCCATGAGAGACACACCCAAACTGGGCAGAAAACTGAGCAACTTGGTTCCCTTTTTAATGCAAGATGAACTTTTCTGTCTCCGGAAATGAAACCGCTTCATCGCATTCAGGGTGGTGGCGGTGAGCTGAACACATGTTCCACTAACTTCAGCTGTTCCTCTTAAATATTTCCTTAGATAAACAACTTGATGTAGCCTTAGCTTCAGATTAAATGTTTCATTCAAACTCTTACAACAGCTGAGGGTGACAGGAAGTGACCGAGGGGGAACTGGGCGGTAAAATGGAGTGCTGCTGACGGGGATGGGAAAGAACGCAATAATCAGCTCTGCTTCTGTGCAATAATGCATACCATTGTTGTTCAGGGCAGGCGTGGGCCTCTGCCTCTGCAGTTATTTCCCAGTAGGCATTGCTTGCTGCTGATTTTCCTAACAGAGAGAAGGTAGGGGCATTCTGGCCTGGTTGGCTTCCCATCCACAGGATCAAATCCTACCTCTGAGTAACCTCCATGGATGATTCAACCTTTGATAACTGGCTTTGCAACAAACCGAAAGTTGCTTAAACATTTTAAAAAGTTAGGTCCTAGATGGACCGGTTGGGAAGAAGAGGACAACTGAAGAGAATAACTATTCTCTCCTGTCAGACTCCACCTCAGATCTGAGTTCAGGTTTGCTTGATACATGACAGGATGTAGATGACTCTCATGACACTTTGGTGTTTAGCAGTCTCGCCTCACAAGACCCAGCCTCCAGAGGATGTGGTTACTTCCTGTAGATAAGTTCTGTACTCAGCCAAGAGCCATGAGGCGACTCTTTCATGATTTCTGCTTCAATTTATTTTTTAAAAATAGTTTAATGTATATTATTGGCTTATTATCTCTGAGTGTTTTAAGTTTGAGAGAAATATCACATAAACCATTGAAAACTTTGAGATGAATCACTGGATGCACACAGACGACCAAACACAAAAACGGATGTAATCAAGTCCTTTTTTTTACTGCTATTTAGCAATAATTTTTATGAGGACATACCCTTATCCCAGCAGGTCACACCAGCATGTATCTTCAAAGTTCACATTTTCCCAAATAAATGTAATTCTTATCAGATCTCCTAACCTGCGTTTGTGTTGATTTTCTCTGCGGCTCAGATCAGCGTACGAGTCACCACGATGGATGCGGAGCTGGAGTTCGCCATTCAGCCCAACACAACAGGGAAGCAGCTCTTTGACCAGGTAGGAGAAGCTCCCTCTCCTGAGGAAGAAGTTGTTTTTTTCTCCTGTAGGTTATTTACTTTATCAGTGTCTGATGTAGGTGATTTATATAACCGCTCATGTAGGACGTGTGGTTTAGAGGTGAAACTAGAAACATGAGAATATGATTTTATAGCTTATATAAGACAGGATTTCATTTATTTACTTATACGTTTTAATAACCGATCATTTAGATAATAAATACAAGCAACCTAAAGGAAAAAGCTGGATTTAGGATGTAACCTTATATCACTAGAGTTATAAACCTGAATCTGTAAGTAAAACAAAATAATAAGGTAATAAAAAACGATTGGCTGTCGGCTGAGTTTTATATTCAGGAGGTTACGTGGTGTGGGAGCTCTCAGATTGGGAGGAGCTGTTCATGGATCTCTGGTCAGGAGGTCCCAGATGTTTTCAGGAGAAAGGTTGGATCACAGCATGAGCGTCCGTCTGCTCTTTTTGAATTGTGTTTGGGACTGTTGTGGGTGAGTGGAGGTCAGGGAATCCCCAAGATGGAGGTTTTAGAAACGGATGCATCCTCCTACTAGCAGTGGAAAATCACTTGATGGGGAATAAAAACAAACTGGAGCTTTCGGAGAAAGTCCATACAGAAACAGGGAAGTTCTCTAAACTAAAGGATTCTGAGACTCATCTGACAATATTCTGAAGAAAATCTTTCCTGTTTGAATAAGGCGCTATAACCATAACTGCTTTGGCTGTTTCAGGTGGTGAAGACCATTGGGCTGCGAGAGGTTTGGTACTTTGGGCTCCAGTACCAAGACACAAAGGGTTTCTCCACATGGCTGAAGCTTAATAAGAAGGTGAGCCTCGTTGGCTTGTGTCACCACTCTCCTCCACCTCCTCCCTCACCCGTGCCGTGTTTTATTTTAGGTGACAGCCCAGGATGTGAGGAAGGAAAGCCCGCTGCTGTTTAAATTCCGTGCCAAGTTCTTCCCTGAGGATGTTTCGGAGGAGTTAATTCAGGAAGCCACGCAGCGGCTCTTCTTCCTGCAGGTGAAGGAAGCCATCCTAAATGACGACATCTACTGCCCCCCAGAGACGGCCGTGCTCCTGGCCTCCTACGCCGTGCAGGCCAAGTTCGCCGACTACAACAAAGAGGTCCACACACCAGGTTATCTCCACAGTGAAAACCTGCTTCCTCAGAGGTAACGAACGTGGTTTTCTGTTACCGATCTGACGGTCAGATTTAGATAAAGTGTTGCTCTGAGTGACACTTTGTCTTCACAGAGTTCTGGATCAGCACAAGCTCAACAAGGAGCAGTGGGAGGAGAGGATTCAGGTTTGGCATGAAGAACACAAAGGAACAATGAGGTGGGTTCAGTTCCGGCACAGACGAACAAAAGCAAGCTGGTGCTGTTCTTAGGGATCTGAAACCTCTCAGCTAAAAGAAGTGGCCTGATCTTTAGAGGCGTCACCTTTAGCTCCGTGTGTGATGGATGCTACGTGGTGATCGGAGTCGGGCCGTGCAGAAACTCAGACTCAGAGCTGCCCTTCATGTGTCCACAGAGAGGAGTCCATGATGGAGTATCTGAAGATCGCACAGGATCTGGAAATGTACGGAGTCAACTACTTCAACATCAAGAACAAGAAAGGGACGGAGCTGTGGCTGGGCGTGGACGCGCTCGGCCTCAACATTTACGAACAGAACGACAAGTGAGTTTATTTTTTTAATTTGTCCTCGTGCCTTTGGTACTCAGGATCTGTGTCCAGCACCAATCAAGAGGTTTTGTTCTCATTGCAGAATGACTCCCAAAATCGGATTCCCTTGGAGCGAAATAAGGAACATTTCCTTCAACGACAAGAAGTTTGTCATCAAACCAATTGACAAAAAAGCACCAGTATGTTACCTCTTCACCGTTTATCATTTCATATTAATGGATGATTTCTGACAGAACCATCTGTGCCCTAGGACTTTGTGTTCTATGCTCCAAGACTGCGCATCAACAAACGTATTCTGGCGCTGTGTATGGGCAACCACGAGCTGTACATGCGCCGCCGCAAGCCAGACACCATCGAAGTGCAGCAGATGAAGGCTCAGGCTCGGGAGGAGAAGAACCTCAAGAAGATGGAGCGGTACAAACGTTCTACTGTTGTCTGAGCTACAGCAGAATTGTGATGTTGTGATTTACTGATGAAGCTGAAACATCCCATCCTGCTTGAGCAGAGCTCTGCTGGAGAATGAGAAGAGGAAACGAGAGGTTGCGGAAAAAGAGAAAGAGAAGATTGAAAAAGAAAAGGAGGAATTGATGGAAAGATTAAAGCAGATCGAAGAGCAGACGAAAAGAGCCCAACAAGGTGTGGAACTATGGATTCTAGTAAAGCTTTATTCTGTTTGACAATGTGAGTCTCACTATGGTGTGTGTGTGTGTACAGAGCTGGAGGAGCAGACGCACCGGGCTCTGGAGCTGGAGCAGGAGAGGAAACGAGCTCAGGTGGAGGCCGAGCGTCTGGAGGCTGAACTGAAGGGCGCCGAGGAGGCTAAGATGGCTCTGCTGCAGCAGTCAGAGAATCAAATGAAAAACCAAGAGCATCTGGTTAGCTTTAGCAAAAAGCGGCTGAGTCAGAAACACCTTATTAATAAAAGCAGGTGCTGTGGCAGAAAAGTTAACAATTCAGTCAACAAACACAATATTTTTCTTCTTTCAGGCCACTGAGTTGGCTGATCTGACGTCAAAGATTTCCCTGCTGGAGGACGCCAAGAAGAAGAAGGAAGAAGAGGCCACGGAGTGGCAGCAGAAGGTGCACAAAATTAAATCATAACTGCTTTAAAAAGAGGAAAAACGTGTTCTCTACTGCCACCATGTGGCAAGAAGCTGTCAGGTCGTATAACCTCCAAAGCGGTCCGTGCAGATTCTTGTTGCTGCTTTAGAGAAAAATCTGGCAGAAATGTAAAATTTTAATTATTAAGTTTGTTTCATTAGGGGAAAAAAGGAGAAACTCCTGGTGAATGGATATTTGGTGGAGTTTAGACCGTTTCTAACTGAAAAACAGCTGCTTTAGACAGTTTACTCTGCTTGTCTTTATTAAAACACCAGTGGACAGCTGTAGGGATCTCAGTCAGAGTAACGCCCTGCTCTCACATCCTCAGGCTACCTCAGTGCAGGAGGACCTGGAGAAAACCAAAGAAGAGCTGAAGAACAAAGTGCTGGCGGTCCAGGAGCCCGTCAACACAGAGAACGAGCACGATGAGAACGATGAGAGCAGCGCCGAGGCCAGCGCCGAGTTCGGGGTGGCCGCCTCCTACAAGGACCGCAGCGAAGAGGAGAGGATGACTGAGGCTGAGAAGAACGAACGCCTGCAGAAACATCTACTGGTAAGACTTAAACCACACTAACATCATTCATGACGTCTGACCTGAGTACAGCAGATCCTGATGTCAGGAATACAGCAGATCCTGATGTCAGGAATACAGCAGATCCTGATGTCAGGAACAGGTGATAAATCTGTTGGTGCTGAAGTCTGAAAACAACATTTCTATTTAGGTTAATCAGAAACATGTTGGTTACATAAAAATCTTATCTATAAACCTTTAAACTGCCCTGTTACACAGTAAAACAATCCAAATGTGGTCCTAAACTTTCATTTAAACAAGTTTGAGTCCCAAACCTGCATCAGCTACTCAGATCCCTCTCATGTAGATGAGACAACATGTTTACCGATCACCGCGGAGGAGTTTTGTGACGTTTCTAAACAGGAGCTGGATTCCCGGTGACCTTCTGTTGTCTTTCCAGGCTCTGAGCTCGGAGCTGGCCAATGCTCGGGACGAGACCAAGAAGACGGTGAACGACATGATCCACGCGGAGAACATGAAAGCAGGACGCGACAAGTACAAGACCCTCCGACAGATCCGGTCAGGAAACACCAAACAGCGCATTGATGAGTTTGAGTGCATGTGATGCGTTTGCCCCGCCCATCGGCCCGCTCATCCGGCGCCTTGCTGCCTGGACTGCTGTCCTGCCTCACTCCAGCTGTTTCTCTCTCTGTACCCAAAACAAATCAGCTCAGCGACATACGGCGACTGCAACAGCACAGCGTTAAGATGCAGATCTGGAAAATTCCAATTCCTCTTTCTAAATTCGATCTTAGGCGAGTCACTGGTTGAAAAGGGACAAACTGTGTGTTGGTAGAACATTCCTTTATGTAGCACGTTAGCTAAAGGCTCTTTATGACACGATGAGCAGGAAAACCTTTAGTTTCTTTATGTTTTTGTCGCTGTTCTGTGTCGCGTTTTTAAAACAGAAGACTCTAAATTTGGCACAATTAAAACCAAACTGGTTCCGACGCATTTCTGCTGTAAACGGTTTCACACAGCGCCTTTCCTCCCTGCAATATGATTCTGAGGAGGAATATTTGAGCAGTATTACGTTTTTAATTATTTTCCAGCGTTCTGTTACAGATCAGACAGTATTTACAATCTACTCCGTGTGCAAATATGAAGGTTTTCTAACTAATGAAGGTCCTCCAACAAATCCTCATTTATAGACGGAACTGACTTTCCTTTTGGTGTTTAGTTTCACAATATTCCATCCACCTCTAGTCCAAATAGGATTAAAAAACATCCTGTACATCTGGTGTCATTAAAAATGTGTTTAGAGCTGCGAAACGCTGAAGAAATTAGGCTAAATAACCTTCAGTTGTCATTTTGTCGCCAAATTTGAACGTTTGAATTCAGAAGTTATTTAATTTAAAGTAGCAGCATTTGATTTGATAGTAGTGCATGTTAAAGCTTCTGCGGTTAATTCAGAGGATGTTTTGAATAGTTTATTAATAGTAAACTGAATTACTGTAATTGTAGTAGTTAATCGGTTAATTAGCTTCATTTCTTTAGACATGCACTGGAAAGTTACAGGTTACTTGAAAATTAGTCAAATCTTTCTTCCATTTCTGTGTGCATTTTTTATTTGACATACTGTATGTATTTAATTTAGTTTATTTCATAATTGGGATTTTACAGTTGTGGTAAATTATGTGTAATAATAAAAAGGACGTCTCTGAGGTATTTTTGTATGATAAAATTCCAATTCTTTTGTCATAAATAATTAAAAAAAATAAAAATGAGGAGTGTTTTAGCTGGTAAGGGTCAGAGAGACAGCAGGCTGAAGAAATAAAGATGTGTGTTGTGCCATAAATAGAAATAATTAAATGTTTTGTTTAAAAAGAAAAATTCTCTGGTGCCATTCTTCCAAATTCCCTTTTAGTATCGAGTCATGTGAAGGAGTTCCTACATGTCATAGATTGTTTTGAAATAAAAAAAAATGTATTTAGACTATTTTGCAAAGGCCAAACTGTATTTTAGTGGATATTTCTGCTAATTTCCTTTCTGATGTCTTTAAATGAACATTTGTACCAGGATGATCCGACTTCCTTCTTTTCTACATGTACTTCTTATATCTGCCATGAATGTTGCTGCACAGTGTTTTCAACCTGAAGCGTCACTTATTAGCATCACAATCGGAACAAATCACCATTGAAGCTGCTTGTATCTCGTCTCGAGTCAAACAGGACTGAACGATTGTAAACTGACAAGACAGTGCCTTTGCCCGGGTTATTATCAGATCTTGCCTCTTGGAAGTTTTCATTTGATTAATTAATAAAAGTTTAGTTAAAGTTGTGTCTCATTGTTCTTTTTTATGGATTTTGATTTAAAGGGATCCTAAGCAACTTTTTCATATATTTAAATACTTTTCTAGAGCCAGTATGTGCTAAAATGACCCTTTACAGTAACCCAGACTATACCGGAATACCGTATTTGCAACTTCAGAGTGCCGGTCTGGTCTATTGGACTTATGAACAGCACAGCAAGGAGATGAGTTTTGCTTTTGGGTCTACTAAATTGACACTAGGGGGTGCTAAAAGCAAGCCCAAACTCTCCCCTTAATAGAAAATACTTTAAAGGATGCTATGACTCAACTATCCACAAGGTGGCTCACCATCTGCTTCAAACATGACATTTAGAAAATATTCCCTGCTATTTTTTGGTAGGAAACTTGTTTTAAATTTCAGTTAACATAAGAGTGATTTTTGCATACAACTGAAGTCTGGAAAACTTTGAAAGCAACACAAAAATGTGGCTAAAGAGCAAACAACAAAGACTTGCACAGCAAGACTGAAAGTTCTGCAAATTATTTCTGCAAACTGAAATAAAATGCACAGAAATGTCTGTCAGAGTCAGTTTTTCCACAAATGTCACACGCAGCAGCGTTGTCACATAAACCCCATTAGCAGGAGTCTGGTTCAGAACTCCAGCATGCAACAAACCCAGTGAGTGACAGGCGAGTAAATAAAAAAACTTGTTTTGAAGTTTGAACCATTAAAGACGAGTGTAGACTGCAGAAAGCATCTGTCTCTTCAGCTCAAAAGAAGAGGAGCACCCTTCCAGAGCAGCATCTGCTGTTTCTGGGCTGCAGCGCTCCACACTTTGTCATGGAAGCATTAAAAACAAGTGGCAAAAATAATCTTTTACATTCATTTTCTTATGGAAACAACTTTACTGTAAAGATTTAGCAGCATTGAGATCTGCATTTAACCCTTTAACGCAGGGGTGCCCAATCCTGGTCCTGGAGGGCCGGTATTCTGCATGTTTTAGTTTGAATTCTGTTTCAACACACCTGATTTCAATCAGCAGCTAATTAACAGGCTTTTGCAGAGCCTGATGAGCTGCTGCACAGGTGTTTCAACCACTGAATCAAGTCTGTTGGAGCAGAAAAACCACAAAACCTGCTGGATACCGGCCCTCCAGGACCAGGATTGGGCACCCCTGCTTTAACGTAATGTTCGGTTATTTTTTTGTAATAGGAAACTGAACAACCCTGGTGCAGCAAGGGGGGTGTTGGCTTGTATCTGTAACTTCCCCTGTATTTGTGGTATTAGTAAAGTGTACTGTCACTTTGAAACAAGCTGCACTCAGTTATCTCACATTAATCATCTTAAACTTTAGAAAAACAAAACAATGAGTCACAATTACTGTTACTTACTCATTTCCATTTAGTGACTTAATTTAAACAGACACACGACTGACAGTGAAGGATGTTTTACACGGCAACGTAAACTCCACAAAAGCACTTTAGTGTATTCGGATCTTCATTATTTAAAGGGGCATTATGGAAGTTTGACAACCAAAACATGTATAGAAATAATAAATTTATTCTTCATACATTCTCCTGCAATGCCCTGGTCCTGTAGAATGAGCCCTGGCATTTTTACTGATTAGATGTTTTTCTGAAAAATCACAGAAAAAGAGAGCTGCTCGGGTCGAGCAGGCTGCTTCATGCGCGTTCACGCTCAGGCATAGCCCGTAGCATTTGCTATCAGTAGCTTTAGCAGCAGAGAGAGAGGTAGTGCCAACTCAGTGACTTTGTCGCTGTTCCTAACGCCTAGTGATGAACCTAGCTACATTTTTGAGGACCCTTGGCTACTTTCTGTAGAACTTTCTTCTAGATATTTCCTGCAAATTAGCAACAAAATAGCCATTTTCGCTCCGAACCGTTCTTTGGTTTGACGTTGTTTCAGGTGTTATCAAGGATATAAAAGTGACAGATACTGTGAATGTTACTAGAGTGTAGCTCACCTTGTAATATGTCTGACTCCCATGCAGAAGTCCTCGGTTCAATTCTGGGTGTAAACATTGTTCATTTAGAGTTTCTTTTTTACATTAATGATTTAATTTTTTTACATATATTTTTTTGCAGTAAGATGCCCAAATTTTTATTTGAGACTCGCTGAACGGCATTGAATTCACAGATAAAAAAGATGTGGGTTCAACTTTCATTTTGGAACAAATTTTCAAGCAAGGGAAGGGATCTGAGCATGCAGGAGGACTGACCCATCATAAACCTTTGTTGGCTGTGCTGAAGAGAAAGGTACAGAACCAATTTATTTAATTAATTAGCTGCACGTTCTCCTGTCCTCTGTCCTCCGGGCCACACACACGGGATTGTCTCAGCTGTTATTTTCGTTAAGGAGTGTGCACATACAGCATGCGTGCCTCATGCACGAGCCTACTATTGAAGCTGCCGTTACGCTTTTGGCCTGAGGGGGCAATCGCGAGTATAAAAATTAAAAAGTCCATAAAGTCCCTTTAAGGAGTTTCTCCAACTTCATTAAATGGAACGAAAGGAATTAATAATCACACGTTTGCCTTTTGTGGCAGGCTAAACTAGGATTTACCCATTAAGGTACCTGTTAAGGTAAAATCTTGAAAACGTCATCACAACACTGAGATCAGGGAATATTCACTACGGATGACTTTCAACGAACTTTTAGCTGATTTTCTGTAAAACTATCAGAGTTGCAGCCATTCTTGTGTGGGTTAATGCAGATTAGTGATTTTAGGAAGGAAATGTTTTCATCTGACATCTGTTAATCTCCATACCAAACTAACTTATGGGGTCAAGTCACTTGATTCTCAGAAACGTGTATTTTAAAATTATTTTAACCACGATTCTCCTGATTAAAACATAGAAATGTATTATTATGTCTCTCAGTTCTGTCACCTTTTCAGCAAACTGACCATCTGAACTCATTACCATGACAACCCAACTGTCGTTGTGGTATCTCGTCTCCACAGAGGAACTTTAGATCTAAGAGATAGTGGTTTGGGGTTGTCAGTTTCCTGTTTATTTGAAGCCCTTCATTTTCCACAACTATTATTAATTACTGAGTTTTGGAGTCCAGAACAAGGCTGAACTCTGCTGATGGATCACCATCTTTGTTCACATTTGCCTGTGGATGGTGTCTTATCTCCAAAAGGTGATGGCTTCAGCTTAAAGGAGAACATAACTGTAACACCTTACATAAGAAATGCATTGAATGTGATCAGAGAAGTGAGGTTGCAGAGCCGCCAATGGGAGAACAAACACTTTAAAACGTATTCAAGAGGTTTGCCAGTCCATTCGGTTTATCCAAACCCTAAAGGATTCATTTTGAAAATAAAGCTTAAAGGCTGATGAAAACTGTTGGCATCATTTGAAATTAAACTTGAACCAAAGTGGGAGTCATTTCATAGGTTCTTGCAGATGTTTGAACAGTAAACAGGGTTACCTATTTACAGATACTGGTGAAGCTGTTTATTATCCTTCTATCAATTAATAAACCCCCGTGGGCTGAAACATCTGGAGCAGTAACCATTCATACCTGAAGCTCACGAGTGAAACAAATGCTTGGCTCTACTTTCACTTGACTGTAATGTTGCGTTGGTCAACAGAAATTGTTTTAAACATCCATCCATCCATTTTACAGTTCATGGAGAAAAGACCATGCCGCTCTCTCCAGCTTCTCCCAATGGATCCCAAAGTGTTTCCAGACCAGAGCAGACATAATGGCCCAATCCCAAAACTCGCATTGCACCCTACCGTCTTCTGTGGAGTGCACTTGGAGGAGATGCGCAGTAAGGCTTTGAGTGTGTGGTACACAAGTGTGCAAATAATTGCCGAATTGGGACAGGGAGCATTGCGTCATCGACCACAACCCATGCTGTGATGCTGGTCACTGTGCTACTTTTGAAAAAAAAAAACGTTATGAACAACTTTCAAAGAAACAACCAATTATTTCAAATTAACTAATATTCATCATTGCTTTGTCTAAAACATTCAGAGCTTCAATCGTCCTAAAATGAACTACTTTCATTTGAAAATATGTATTTTAGAAAAGGTACTTGTGCCCTTTCTCCTGTAGCAATGGACTGTGGGTAATACCCTTCACCCAATTCTTCATTGATGTGGACTTGGGTGAAGGGCGGATCAAGGGTGCAAAAGGGGCGTGATCAACTTCCGCACTTGAGAATCGGGACTATCTATGCACTCGCACTCGTGCAATTGAAGGGTGCAAGCGTGGAAGTGTGAGTTGAACAAGCAGAGGGGCACTTAATCACTGATGTTCTTCTCTGTTATTAATTACATAATTTACAGATACACAAATGGACAAAAACACAGGAAATGCAGACTTTTTTTTGCCTCGTCACTTTTGTGGCGCTCCCTCCAGCCTGGTGCCCCATTGCATACTCAACTCAACTCAAGCTTTACTTCTACAGCGCCTTACAGGCACAGGGTGACCCCAAAGCACTGTGCAGACAGACATGTATTAGTATTACCAGGCAAGGATTAAAACAAGAATAAAAACAAATACTAAAAAAGAAATGAAAAGAAATAAAAACAGCTTACAAAGTGCACTAATAAAAGAAAACACAAGCAGACTGACGGCCACCAGTAAGAGCCAGATCAAACAAAAAAGTCTTTAGCCTGACCTTAAAAACTGTCACCGATGATGAAGCACGCACGATAAAAGGTAACTCATTCCATCCGTGGAAAAAGCCCCATCTCCTCTCGTCTTTAAACGAGTCCTAGGAACTACGGTATACAGTGCATAACCACTTTTTTGCACCACTGCGTACACACACACACACACACACACACACACACACACACACACACACACACACACACACACACACACACACACACACACACACACACACACACACAATGATCAAAGGCAGACTATTTCACAATTTTTGACTTGCTACAGAAAAAGCCCTGTCCCCTCGGGTCTTTAGCCTCGTCTTAGAAGCTGCTGTGAGCTATACCTCAAAGATCTGGCTGGAGTGTGATGTA